CCAACAATTGCCGTGCAATGGAAAGTGCTAGACACAGCGGCTCGCGTCTGTAACACCAGGCCCAGGAGGCTGAGGCAGGATGGCCATTGTAACTTCAGGTCAACCCGGGATGTAGTTTCTCTGCACTTCTGTCTGGGAAGTCCCCTCACGTACACCTGCCCAAACCACTGACGGACGCGGCCCTTCTGTGATGATGGAGGGAACCCACAGGTTAGAGGGTCTGCTAGTATTAAATACATCCTGTTTCCTTCAGAACCATTTAACCAGGAAATGAAACGAAGTTTAAGCTCAAGTCCATTACTGACACAACAAAATGAGAGAAGAGACTCTGCTGTCACTATATATTCCGAATTGGGCCCTGTACCAGACACTGAGAGACACAGAGGGCCTCACCACTGCGGTGGTCATACAGCAATACATGCAAGCTAGTTAAAATTACCACAGCGGACACACACTTAAACATTTGGAGCATTTATTTACCATGACGATTTTGCATACACACTGTAAATGTTTGGTTCACTTCACATAGCATTTTAAAGGAAAAAAAAAAAAAAAAACAGTGTAACTACCACACAGTAAACTACACAAACATGAAAATTGTAAGAAGGGCTTGCAAACATAAGTGAGGGATGGCACTTAAGGGTAGTGGCCAATATGAGAAGAACTCAGTGAGAAGCAGCCAGTGTCCTCTACCAATTCTGTAAGCACCGAGAACACCTTTGGAGCTGAGAGAACAGACAGAAGGCGCAGCATCAATCACTCCCCACGAATGGTCCCCATCTCTGACACGCGACATTTTCGATGATTTTTTTGGATAGACCATGGTGTATTTAGGACCCTCACTGTTCCAAGTTTCAAATGTTTACCCTGGGTTTTCTAGACTTTTAAAGTTTCCTTCGTGAGGTTTTCCTTTGTCCTTTCTGATTTCAGGCTTATATGGGGGAGGGGATGTTTCTCAATTATGCTATTAAACATGAAGACATCCTAGTATAAGGCCCTTATGATTTTATTCCTTTACATCCGAGCACGAGGGGGGTTCCACAGCACCAGATGTTATTGTTCTGCTGCAGCTGTGGGCAATGAAACACGAACCACAAATCAATAAAACCCACGTGGAGTTTATTGGGGAGCAAAGAGGGGCAGGGGAGGTGTTGGCCAAGGGGGAACAGAGCTGGAAGGGAAGAGGAAGAAGGGGCAGACAGGTGGGAAGTGCTGGCTTAAAAGGGAAAGCTTGCACATGCGTACAGGGTCCTTACGCCACCACGTAATGCATGACATAGTGGTCACGCAACACAAGGCCTTCTGAGCTAAGTGTCTACCTGAGTGGTGGTGTGTGTATCCTGCCCACTGTAGGGGGTGGGGCAGCATGATGCCTGCATCCTTATAGTGGCCAGACACTGTCATCAGACTCATGACGATGATTTTACCCGACTTCTCTGTAAGAGACTCCGGGTGCTTGTTCCTTTAGCGGGGCCTCTGGTGTGACAAACTGCCAATTATAGTTACTGTATCCTTCTACAGGACTTCAGTACATGACCCCGACAGTTGTACAGTTACATGTTGTGATGGCTAACATTATGCTCAACGTCTTGAAACTACTGAATAAAGCAAAAACCATCTTCCGCTTGTAAGCCTCTAGCTGTGGAAACGTTGTCAGCTAACTGGCCTAAGATGGAACAACTGTAGCATTCAGGCTGTTCTTCAAAGTGCCTAGGCCTTGTAAAATTTTAACTGCCTCTGCTGTTTGTGCAAGACAGCAGGTCACATGACTAACAGCTGGTTCCACTTCTGTACAAAACACTTGCTTGCTCAAGATAACCAAGTTTTCTACACGACATCTGCTTGCACCAAAACCCCAAAATGTAGTTTTCAGACACAGTCATGCTGTGCAACCCAGGCTGGCCTTAATTCTCAATCCTCCTGCCTCAGTCTCAGTGCTAAGACTACAGAAATGTACCACCAAATGCTTTACATGTTTTTTTTTTTCAAAAATAGAATTTATTTTTTTGGCAATTCCATACATGTAAACAATCCATCTTGATCATCTGCACGTCAACCTCCCTCCACCTCCCCCAACACGATCCTGTGTGCCTACTGTCCCAATGTTTACCTTAAAGGTAACTGGTCCTGAGGCCTACCCCACCTGACAGTTTCAGTGGGTTTCACAGACCTGTCACAGAGGGGTGTAATCCCAATCAATACCCACAGTACTGGAGCAACTGCTGGGGTCCGCTTTGCTGATGGTAAAACCAGCATGTCTGAGAAGGGATGGTGGAGAGCTTTCTGTCAAGTCTCTAAGGTCTACAAAATTAGACCACAGAGGTGGCACAAATATTTCAATGGCAGCTGATGTTTAAAGACAGCACAAGGCTGTTAAATAAAAACTCCGATAGTGGTCTGCCTTCCTAGGAGTTGTTGGCCATGAAGATGGACCCCACACTGTAGCTTCTGGCGATACTTGGGTGCTTCAGAGATAAGTGGTCTTCCCTGACTTCTGAAGACACCAACAGTCTGACCTGGGCTTAAACCAGGATACACTGCCCATTCCCAGTGGTTAGCTGTCAGGCCACCAGGGGGAGCCCATCCTCCAGCCTCCCTTGGCTGTGGACCCACAGTCTACTATCTGCGTGCACACCCGCAACAGCATGTTCAGCACAGGGACAGTATACATTCTTCCAGCTTTATGTACAGTCCCCTCATGTTTAGAACTCTCTGGTCAGAAACCTGGAGCTGAAAAAAACTGTACACCCAAACGACAAGACTACCACCACTGCTTTGCTAAACATGTATGTACCCAATTAATGACTGCGCTTTAAATTGGCCCTTTGTGGGCGGAACCATTAGGAGCTGAGGCCTTCTTGGAAAGTGTCACCAGGGCTGGGCTTTAAGGTCTTAAAAGCCCAGCCCCACTCTGCCTCGTTTTAAACATGTATGTGCTTCTTGTAGAGAAGGGACCACAACTGGGCACAAACGCTACCTTCTGGGAATCATGAAATCAGACCTAACCCCAAAGTGGGCATTTGCATTGGGCTTAGACAGAATGAGACACACTACAATTGGTTGGTACATGGTAAGAGTTGCAAAAGGGTACTACAGGTAAACAGTAACATTTGTATTTATGGGAGAACACATCTGGAGCCACTCCAAGCCCCTCTCTGAGCTGTCAGTCATGTGCCACCTTCCTCTTCGAGCTGAGACTGTGAGTATGCCCTGGCAGGAACGTGTTAGTCTCCAACATGCCTTCCCTATATGATTACATATAAGCTTCTCAAATACAGCGCTCAGTGTCTCTTTGCTAGTGGGACCATGTCCAGTTTAAGAACTGCATATGACCTTTGTTTTCCTGTAACATGGTAACAAGAATGTTTTACTCAGCCAAGCAGTAGTGGCGCACGCCTTTAATCCTAGCACTCAGGAGGCAGAGGCAGGCAGATCTGAGTACGTGGCCAGCCTGGTTTACAAGAGCTAGTTCCAGGACAGCTAATGCCACACAGAGAAACCCTGCCCCTGGAAGGTCACTGCCCCAAAAGAGAATGCCATGGCTTTGTAGCTTGGCACTCACCCAGATGTGAAGCCATTGTGTTTGTCACAGGAACACTCAGGTATTTAGTCCCTAAGCAGGGGCCTATATCAGCAACATAAGCAAAGCCCCAGGTCTACGTTTATTGCCAAATTCTGAACCACACCCACACACGTTTCTTAAGTCACGGGCTACAGACTGGCTCTGGGTATATATACAGGTATACTCACATCTGTATGCAGTCACTGCATACATGATACTTATACAGACCTGCAGGGTGTTTTTGACTACTGGCTTAGGTCAATACCATGGAGGCATGCGCCCTTCTGACAGCCTGTATCATTTTAGAGTGTGCCCATGGGTATAGTCTCTCCTACGTTGGCACAGCAGCCCTTCTGACAGCCTGTGTCACTTCAGGAGTATGCCTCCATGGCTGTGGTCTCTCCTGTGTTGGCACAGCAACCTTCTGATGGCTTGAATCACTTTAGGAGTATGTATCCACGGCTATCGTCTTTCCTTGTGTGGCACAGCAGCCCAATGGTTCAGTTCTTGGGGGGGGGGGGGAGCATCCACCTCTTCTTTCTAAGGCTCAGGGAAGAAGTTCCAGGAAGGTGGTAAGAGCTGGAGGGTAGGAAACCAGGTCCAGGCCTAATACCCTAACCTGTCTTACCATGGAGCATCAGCTGCCAAGGGGACCACCCAGAGACCCTGGCTCAGAGGAGACAAGGATGTAAGCTCCAGCACATCACCAGGTAACAGGGGCGTGGTCCTATACTCAAAGCCTCCTGGGGGCATGGCTCCCCCTCCCACCTCTGGCATCTGCTAGCCGTGATAAAACAATCCCGCCTGGTGAGTCAGAAGAGCTACTCAAACCACCCAGCACTCTGAAAGCTAACCTACGGGAGAACTGAAGTCATCCTTCAGGCTGTCGGTACCATTCCAATTCAAAGACAATGTTTACATGAATTCATATTTATACAGCAACAGTGATATAGCACAGAGATTTGTAAACATTAAACCTCTTTACAGTAAGAGCAAAGATCAGCCTGCCCTTACTGGTCTTGAATGCTGCACCATATGAATCTTTAAGAGGCAGTTTTGATTTCCTTGAATAAAATATAGCCATCATCACAGCTTAAATGGCAGAGCGCCATTATCCTGGCCTGTTTTCCGGTACCCGGTTCCCATACAACAGACTGCAACCTGCCTTGGTACCTAATTTAGAAGTGGGAATTTCATAACCAATAGCCTTGCTTTAGCTTCACAACAGATGAGCTTCACCGAGTCACCGGCCACTATGCAGACCACGTCACCTTGAACAAATGCCTGCAGGCAACCAATCCAGGTTCTTCTTCCGCTTTTCACTTATCAGAATCCCAGGGCACTACCTCTCTGCTCTCAGCACTTTCTACTCAGAAGACACCCAGGCTCATCAAGTTTATTCCTGACAGCCGGGAGGCCCCTCCCCACAAAGGCACAGGAGGAGGGCGCCCGCGTCTCTGCGCTGATCCCCCTCACTTCTTCTTACTTGCAGGACTGTCTAAAACTTCAATCTTGCCTCTGCCATCTTCTGCATGTGGAAGCTTCAAGTTGTCTATGGTGACTTCGGAGGGGATGCAGTCCTCATCGTCGGACTCTGAGCTGTTCTCAGAGCCGTCCTGTGAGCTCTCTTCTGAGCTCCCCTCTTCTTTGGAATCTGACTGATTCATCTCAAATAAGGCCACATCCTGTAAAAAATGTCAAGGTGAGAAATCTACTTCAGCACGTTTCTGTAACATGTTCTAATACAGCAACATGGCTGGCTGCAGGGATGGCTCAAGAGGGGCAACAGGGCTCTCTGCTTTTCCAGAGGACCCCAGTTCAGTTCCCAACACCCATTACCAAGTGGCTCACACCCCCTCAACTCCAGCGTCAGGAAGTCTAACAGTGCTCTGGTTCTTCAGCCCCCATGGGCACCCACATACTAACATGCACACAAAAAATATTAACTCTTAAATAAACCCAACAGAGGGAGCTACCACTGTTCAGTACAAATTCTGGAGCACAGGCTGGCTGTGTGCTTAACACAATGGCATGTTCACGTGTTCAGGGGCCAGAATGTATCACAGAGCAAAGTCAGCATCAACCTGAAGGACTTATTTTACTTATGCCTTTGAAAAGGCTCTTCCTGGGCTGCAGAGATGGCTCAGCGGCTGCTCTTTCTGAGGACCTGGGTTTAATTCCCGGCAACCACACAGTGCCTCACAACTGTCTGTAACTCCAGGGGATATGACACCCTCACACAGACATACATGCACACAAAATTTAAAAAAAAAAAAAAAAAAAAAAAAAAAAAAAAAGGCTCTTCCTACTCGTACATACTCAACAGCATTCTCTGAACAAAAACGGAGCAGTGGTTCTCAACCTTCCTAATGCTACGGTGACCTTTTAATTCAGCTCATGTTGTGGCGGCCCCCCCAAGGGGGAAAAAATTACTTTCACTACCACTCCATGACTGTAATTTTGCTACTATTGGAATCGTAATGTGAATACCTGTTCTCCAACGATCCTAAGCAGGTGGGGACCCACTGGACCACAGTTGGGCACCACACTGGACACTTTAGACTTAAGAAATGCAAACGCTGGCCACAGTGACACATCTACAATACTGGGGAGACAGACAGGACAGACAACGAAGCCCACTGGGCTACACGTAAGGCCCGCCCGCCCCCAAACCCCACTCTCTCAAAAAACACCCCACATCTCGCTTTAAAGAAATTTACATTTCTGAGCAAGGGCCAGTAAATTATAACCAGCAGGCTAAATCCTACCTGCTACCTTCAAAACATCCTTCCTTCCCTGTTTTAGTGACAAATGCACTAATTCCATCACACGAAACAAACAGGGCACAGATACCATCTGTATGATATTTCCGGATGTCCCATCAATATTTTCAATATTGAAGTGATCAGCTGCAGCAACTGCCATTTCCTTTTGCAGTTTTTCATTTGCCTGGGCCATTTGTGGGAGAAAGGCCTGAACTTGGTCTAACACTGTGAAGAGCAAACATAGCATGAAAACAGATTAGTACATTCCAGACTCCACAACTCCTAGTAAAACACTGCAGAGCAGAGCAACAATAGACCCCTCAACTCTTAAGGTCCATCTGCTTCTGAGCTGCCTTGGATGGGAGCGTAGATGGGGTTAGGGGAGACTGCTGGGGAATGAACCAGAACTTTACTTTTGCTAGGCCAAGAAGGGCTCTACCAGTCAGCTACACTCTCAGAGCACAAATACCACAGAGTTCAGCAATTACTACTCAAATATTCTGTGTTTCTCTTCCATCTTGAAAGCAGAAAATTCTAGAAGGCTGGTATTCAACAAGGTGACCAAAGGCAGAATGACCTAATAGTTAAGAGTGCCTGGTCTTTACAGAGAAGCTTTCAAGGTCATTAATGGGATCTCATTTCTAACTTTTTACTATTTTAGTTACCTGCAATGTGTTTGTCACCTGGCAAACATCTGCCCACCTTCCGCTGAAAATGTTAACACTACCACCTTCTTTTTGGAAATAGGCTTGCTATGTAGCCCAGGCTAGAATTCACAATGTTCATAAATTGGACCGATTTCTAACTTGACCTTGGTGCACAGCACCATGCCCTGCCCTTCTTTTCAGCTTAGGCCACTACTGGCCCTCATCCTGAACAAGCCTCCACATTATCTGCTCTGTGGCAGGAAATAGTCACAAGTTCATGGCCTGCCTAGAGACAGAGCGGATTCAGAGCCAACCTGAGCAACTTCGAGACCCTATCTCAAAATAAAAAAAAATTCTGCTGTGCAGTGGTGGCAAACACCTTTAATCCCAACACTCCGGAAGCCTAGGCAGGAGGATTTCTGAGAGTTTGAGGCTAGCCTCATCTACAGAGTGAGTTCCAGAACAGCCAAGGATACAGAGAAACCCTCACAAAACAAAACAACAACAAACAAACAACCCCCCCCAAAAAAAAACAAAACCAAAACAGAGAGAAAGGACTGGGAATAGTGCTTGCTCAGCCGCAGCCCGCAGAAAGTACCAGGTTCAAGTGGTAGCAACACACCAAAATACAAGGCACTGGGGAGGCTGAGGCAGAAGGATCTCAACTGGACTTGTAAAAATAAAGTTGTTTTCCACAGATACTGATGATTTTATGAATGCTATTTCAACCGTCTCCGTGAGGGGGAGCACACTTATGAGCGTGCAATTCAGCAATGCTGTAGTGTGATTAATGAGGAGAGCTGGCTCCATTAGGTTATATGATTGTCAAGATTTACCACCTAAAGGTGTGAGCCATACAACTGATGCTTGTAATCCTGTAACTCAAGAGGCCGAGGCAGCAGGGACACGAGCTCAGGGCCACCCTGAGCTACACAGAGTTCTAGTTTAGCTTGGTATGTGAAGTGAAGCCTTTAGGAGACATGAAGTAACACGTATTCACCCTAGACGGGGTTCAAAGATTCCCCCAAAGACTAACTAGGTGAGCCAGCAGGTTTACTGGGCTTACTCAGAGGAACAAGAGTGACAACTCCCAAAAGCTACCTCCCTACAGCTCTCTGCTGGGGCACAAGCAGCTCCGTGTAATAATCCTCAGGGAAAAGGTCTTTGGAGTCCTATAAATTTACTTTCAAAGAAGTGTTTACTACCTGTAGCTTTTTTCCTTTTATTGCTTTTCCAGACAGGGTTTCTCCAAGTAGCCCTGGCTTGCCTGGAACTCAAGAGATCTGCCTGCCTCTACCAACTGAGAGCTGAGATTAAAGGTGTGCACCACCACCTCCTGGCTTAGGACTTAACTCTCTGTATCGTAAGAGCCTCCTTACACCATTTAAGAAAATGTTTTGATTTAGAAGGGAATGCTTCAATTTTGAGACTTCTATACAACACAGACTACACAGGGGCTACCCAGACTGTATCAAAATAAAAGTTAACCAATATTGGTGGTCTCCATAAACACATTTAATATTCCAAAGCATGTGAACAATACATGCCTTTCAACCAAGTCTTGTAACTACCCAAGCTGATCTCCCTTACAATTTTCCAACTGCAGGTGTGGAACATCTCAGTCAGCCAGTAATGTTATTTTCAGTTTCAAAAAGAAAAAAAATATATATTCTGAAAAAAACTGCAGGCAAGAGATTAAGGCAAGAAATTCTAGTCCTTAAACAATGACTTACACGATATTACCATATTTGACTCTACAGTTTGATATGAGCCACGAAGACAGGATTAACTAGCCTACATTGGGGAAGCGCTCCCTTAGAGTAGAAAGGCAGTACTTACAAGGGCTCCTCTGCACCCGAACTGTTTGGAGAGTAGAGGTCTTCCTGGAATGTGGCTTAGAGCTGATAAGCAACTGGTTCCAGATACCTGAAAACACACACACCATTTACATCATAAATACAGCTGAGCCAGGAGTACAACTCAGCACCGGGTTGACCCTCAGCATTGCAGAACAGGGAGAGAGGGACCATCGCAACCGCTCCCGTGACTGTCTGAAGTCTGGACCATTGGATACGAGGGAGAAGGGGCAAACACTCTTCTACATGTTGCTTATCCACCTCCCTCAGTTCAACCCACCTCATCTCCATTACTCATCTGCAACAAAGGTACATCGGATTCCACCTTCTGGACTAGCAACAACAACAACCTGGCACCTGTACTATTACTACTACTACTACTAACAACAATAAAGCTGGCACGGTGGAACAGACCTTAACTCCAGCACTCAGGCAGGCAGGCGGATCTGAGTTCCAGGCCACTCAGGGTCACCGATATAGAGAAACTGTCACACACTAGGGCTTCATTCCCAGCACCAACATGGTCTAACCTCAGTTCCAGCGGATCAGACACTTGGGACCTCTCAAATCACTTCACAACACTTAGTAAGCGGCAGGCAGGCACAAGCACTTTTATGCATTCTTTAAAATTCTATGGGTAGTCCTACCTGTTTGCTGTGAAAACGGAGGCCTAGAGAAAGCAACTTATATAAAAGCCCCACTTCGGACTAAGGATTTGACCCCCTTTTTTGTTGTTTTAGAGACAGGGTCTCACTGTATTACACCTCCGGCTGTCCTGGCCTCCAACTCGAAACCCGCCTGCCTCTGCCTCCCAAATGCTGGCACTAAAGTCGTGCGCCACCACGTCCCGCTGAACCCACGCTGTTCTGTAGCACACAATCTAAAATGCTGAGTGGATTTCCTGCACGTCTCCCTCCACCAAAGTGAACTAAGGAACTAAGGAGTGCGTGCCCACGGTTATTAAAAATGGCATTGTCTGTCACCTATCATCCCAGCCAGGCCAGGCCCTCCCTGCAGTGTCCCCCCCGCCAGCCCGGCCCCGCAGCGTCCCCGGCCCCGCAGCATCCCGGCCCCGCCAGCCCGGCCCCGCAGCATCCCCGGCCCCGCAGCATCCCGGCCCCGCAGCATCCCGGCCCCGCAGCATCCCGGCCCCGCCAGCCCGGCCCCGCAGCATCCCGGGCCCCGCGGCATCCCGGGCCCCGCAGCATCCCGGGCCCCGCAGCATCCCGGGCCCCGCAGCATCCCGGGCCCCGCCAGCCCGGCCCCGCAGCATCCCCGCCCCGCGGCATCCCCGGCCCCGCGGCATCCCCGGCCCCGCGGCATCCCCGCCCCGCAGCATCCCGGGCCCCGCAGCATCCCGGCCCCGCAGCATCCCGGGCCCCGCGGCATCCCGGGCCCCGCGGCATCCCGGCCCCGCCAGCCCGGCCTGTCTCCGCCGCCGCTCACCTCCTGAACCCTCGCTCCCTGCGGTCAGCAGCTCCGTGGACACCGTGACCTGCGAGCGGCGCCCAGAAGACGGCGAAGCTGTGGGGCCGGACACGCGCTCGCCGGGAAGCTCCATACTTGCAAAACAGCACGAGGGCAATGAACCCGGATGCAGGAAGGCGCGGGCGGGGGCGGGGCCAAGGCGGCAATTGGCGGAAACTCGGAGGTGGGCGGTGGCGGCGGGCGGGGCGGGGCGGGGCTCGCAAGGAGGCGGGGCTGAGGCCTCGGGCAGGCGGGGCGGGGCGGAAGCGGTGGGGAAGGGTGGCGTGGGCGGGGCGGAAGCACGTGTGGGGCGTCCCCTGTTACTGGCAGAGTCCCGGGCTTGGTTTACACAACAAATTCAAGTTGGAGACCATAGTGCGAGTCCTTTGTCGTCGTTTTTGTTGTTGTTTGGGGAGGATGCTGCGGTCTTGAGTTTGTGGCAATCCCGCTTTATTGTCCCAGGGGCCAGGATTGCAGACGGTTGACCTCAAACTAACCTTCAGTTTCTGTGTACTTAAACCTACCGGCACCATGTTTGGTTTAAATTACTTGTTAAACGAAATCTCGCCAACTTACTTGCCTTGGCCTGGTTATCAAGGTCCTGGTATGTCACTCAGCCTCCGAAATAGCTTGCATTACAAGCCCGTTGTTGGTGGCACAGGCCTTTAATCCCAGCACTTGAGGCTGGGCAGAGGCAAGCAGATCTCTGTGGTTACAGACGTGGTCTACCAGATCCAGCTGAATTTGCTATTGGATTGTAAACACAAAATTCAGCACGAGTACCGTTTACATTTCTATGCAACAAGACTTTGAAACATTTTCATCTCAAGATCCTAAAAGATCGTTCCAGGTAGTAATTAAGTGGTAAATCTTGTACTGGAGGCCCGAGTTTGGTCTCCAGCACCAAAACATTTTTTTTAAAAAGCTGAAGCTAGATCCATTGGATAGTAATTCTTCCTGCCCCTGTTCCATATAAACAGAATCATGAACCACTTGCTCTTGTGACTTTTATTTCGCTGAAAATAATACTTTAAAGGTTTGAGGATTCCTTTCTAGTTTGATGTTGACTAATACGTCACTAAATTATGTCCCATATTTGCTTTTGTGGGGGAAGGAGCTTGTTTGGGAAGACAGGGTCTCACTATATAGTCCAGGCTATATGTTTGAACTCCAGGCAATCCTCAAACAATCCCAAAGTGTTGGGATTACAGAGAGGCTTTGTTACCAGGGCTAGTTCAACAGCACGTTATCTTTGATAGTAGCTGCTGTGACCAGGAGCTGCAGTGAATATTGCAAATGTTGCTTTAAGCTAAGAGTAGTAGCAGAGGCCTTTAACTTCAGCACTCAGAAGGCAGAGAGGCAGGTGGGTTCAAGGCCAGCCTGGTCGACATAGCACGATCTAAACCAGCCAGAGCTGCACAGTAAATCTGTATCTTTAAAAAAAAAACCTCTGTGTGTGTGTGTGTGTGTCTATGTGAATGTGTGTCTATATGTGTGAGTGTCTATATGTATATGTGTGTGTGTGTGTTGGGGGCAGGGCACATGTCATGGCATGTGTGTGGAAGTCAGAACAACTTGAGGGAGTCAGTTCTTTCTTTCTACGTCGTTGACCTATGAATCAAAACATTGTAGCAGCAAACACCTTTACCTGCCAAGCTATCAACCAGCCAAAATAACACAATTAAAATATGATCAAAGGGCTTGAGAATAAAGGTCTTCTTTTTTTGAAAGTGAACAAATTTTTATTGTTCGTTTCATGCAATCAAAGTGCTCTTCAGTGACATCTTTGGCCTGAAATCATTTGCACTACACAAGTGCAACCTATCACTTGAACATTCATCTGAGACCACATCTGAGCTCACACACACCATACACAGACACACACAAGTACAGCAGGGTCCACAAACTGGCTGAGGAACTAGAGAATGTGTTACACACAGGACAGCACCCTCAGTGGGCTGTAATGGCAGCTGGCCTGTGCTGCAGTTAAAGGGCCATGCCAATGAGGAGGAGCTGTCTGCCAGGAACTGTACCAGGAAAGACATGGATGCTCCCCATGCCCACCTCTGCTCTAGCTGCTAGGTGGAAAGGGGAGGAGCTATGACGACACACCAAGCTGGCCTCAAACTTGTATCATTCCCCTTGATTCTGGGATTACAGGCTTTTGTCACCATCAACTTCATTATTTTAGTTTGTTTTTTTTTAACACAGAGCCTCAAGTAACCTAGACTGGCCTCAGACTCACCATGTAGCCAAAGGTCCCCACACCTGGCTATGTAGCTTTAGGATCAAACCCAGGGCCTCGTACATGCATGCTAGACAAGCCCTCTGCCAACTGAGCTACAGCCCCAACCACTGTATTTGTTTTTTAAAGTCAAAACAATTTGGGTTATTTCCATCCCTTTAAATTTTTTTTTTTTACTGGGTTAAGTTTCGAGGATATTTTTCCTAGAACAACAGTGCATCTAACACTGGCTTTTCAGCTTCTGCTAAAAAGCACTTAAAAATACATCCAGAATTAGGACGCAGCCCTGCCTTCTGGTAGAATTGTTCACTACAATGCAGACACACTGTAAGGGATGGAACCGACCTCTAGGTGGAGACATACCCTTGCCTCCTCCTTAAAGGGTTAATCCAATGGGGCCGGTGAGGGCTTGGCTAGCGGATCACCCCCAGGGAGACTGGTTCATTTGACGATACCGTGTTCTTCCTGTGCAGAATTCCCACCCCCTAATGCTGTCCCCACAGCTGAGGTGCCTTGCAGTGCCCCCAGGTCAGCTTGTCTTTCTGAGGTCTATATTTTTGTTTTTCTTTTTAGGCACAAAACGAATGCTTTGGGCTTCCTTATCGTTGTCACAGCTCCCCTTCAGGGCATGCGGCTATGGGCCACTATGACTGCCCTCCTGGAGGCCTTATCTGGAGCCACCTGAGATTTGTTCCTTCTCTTCTCTGTTCTCCTTCCTTCCTTCCAGGCTTGGGGGTGTGTCTGGAGTTTTCCTTATAAACCCAATAAATTGTCTCCAGGCTTCCGTTTGTGTCCATTCTTAAATTAGTTTACTAACGAAATTAAGAACCCTAAGGAAGTTCTCAAGTATTCTGTGACAGCTCTGCTGGGATTCCCCTTTAGTTCCTCAGCTGAAAGAGAAAATGAGCCTGTTCCTGTTACTCTAGACAGCGCCAAAGCACCACAGCAGAAACGAGTTCAACAGGGGACACGTACAACAGTTAAACTGCAGCCGAAACACTCGTTTCCCATGTTGGCAAACTGTGTACAGTGTGTACTGTTTCCTGTCCTCATCCTACAGATGCAATCTCCTTTTGATCTCTTTCCTGTTGAGAATGTTTTTGCAAGTTTACACATTCTGATCACAGTTGGGTATAGGCCTTCCCAGTTATAGGCCCTATCCAGGACAGAGAGGTCTCCATTATCGCAAAGTAAATATGTTCATGAGGTCATAATATCCGCTATTCCCTTTGAAATGGCCCAAACAGAACACTACCCAGTGGGCGTGAACTTCAGATTGATTTAACTAAGAACATGGAAGGGCTGCGGCCAGGGATGGCTGCAGAGACCTGGTGTGCACACAGTACATACGACTTTGTCTTTGGGCCTCTTGCTTGCAGGAATTCAGCAGAGTGCAGAGCACCTACTAACTCTCTATTCTTTCATTCCTGTTTTTCTTTTTTTGTTTGCTATAATTTTTTTATAGACAAATTGTAAAAGTAGTGCTTGTATACTTATTATATGCAGACTCCAAAAATGAATACATTTTGCCTCTCTTTTTTCTTTTTCCTTTTTCCTTTTTTTTTTTTTTTTTTTTTTTTTTTTTGATGGGGGCAGAGGATGTACTAGGGATTGAATCCAGGATTTTTTTTTTTTTTTTTGATGGGGGGCAGAGGATGTACTAGGAATTGAATCCAGGATTTTTTTTTTTTTTTTTTTTTCTGATGGGGGGCAGAGGATTACTAGGGATTGAATCCAGGATTTTTTTTTTTTTTTGGAGAGCATCTCGCAGGATTTTTTTTTTTTTTTTTGGAGAGCATCTCGCCGTGTTGCCCTGGCTAGACTTGAACTCACTATGTAGCTTTGCAGGCTATTGTATCACACCGAGAACCCCAAGATTGTGTTATTTACTAGAAAAACCTGTTTCAAGTTGTAGTGTGTCTCAGCCCTAGCACAAACCTTTAACCCAAGAGCTTTCTGCTTGGATATTGTAAATAGGATTAAATAAAGTCAACCATAGGTCAAGAGGCAGATCAAACAACCAGTTGACAGGAAAAAAAACCATAGAGAGTAAGATGAGTCAGGAGGACAGATAGACACACAGTAACATTCAGTTTGAGGGGTTTTGTTTGAGCTGGTGAGGAGAAAGGCCTTTTACTTTTTTTTTTTTTTTTTTTTTTTTTTTTTGGATGTTGTCAGGGGAGGGTCGGCTGGGTGATTGCTCTGAACAATCTGAACGAGCAGATTTTTAACCCCAGCATCTGGCTCCTGAGCCTTTATTGGTGTAATCAAATGATTGAGATCCAATCAAAAGCCACCATGGAAAACAGGCTGGTCTTGAACTCACAGAGATAGACTGGCCTTGGCCTCTGGGGTATTGGGTCTGAAGGCCTGCTCCGCTACACCTGGCTCTCATGGCTATGAGCTGCCACGTGGATACTGGGAACAGAACCTGGGTCCTCTGCGTTCACGGGTGAGTCATCTTCTCAGATCCATTTCTCCTTGTTTGTTTTCAAGACAGGGTTTCTCTGTAGCCCCGACTGTCCTAGAACTCAGAACTCAGAGATCCTCTTGCATCTAATCTACCTCCTTTTCATTTAAAGTCTAGCCTTAATTCACTCAGGTCCCCTAGAAAAGCAGAAAAGCAGTCTGTCTCGCATCCCAACTGCTGCGCCAGCTCTTCAGTCCCCAGATTCTGGAATATTTTTGAAGATAGAACAGAGGAGCGGGTCCTGGTGGCACAGGTACACACTGGCAGCCAAAGAGAAGTAGAGGAACTCAGAGTCTGTGTCCTAGCAAAGCTCCACCAAGACAGCTTAAAGCATGCCGCATGCGGTTAAATTCTTTTTAAAAGTTATATATCTTTATTTGTAATGTATGAACTTTTT